AGCCTTATAAATAATTTTCATCTGCTATCAAATCTATACACATAATATCAAATGTCAATCGAGGGCAGGAGGTTTCTTATCATCGCATTTTACAAGGAATGTTCAATACTGAACTAACAACCTCACTCCAATTTTCTTTAAAACATTTTTCGTTTCCTGTATTCCTCAATCTATATCAAGATAGAACTGTAAAATTTGAAAGCTATGTCACTTAAATAGCTCGTTCTCTCTACACGATACATTTTTCTGAAGTAATAATACTTTTGAAAATGCGACCTATTAAATACGGCCTTCGTACTTCTCTTTATACTACAAAAATAATTATAAATCCATCAACTTACCGATAGGACTGGTATCTTATATTCTCAAACTGAAATTGAAAATAAATGTGTTTTTTTATTTTTTATTATGGAATGATTTTGGAATGCAAGTATAAAAGCATGGTCAAATTTCTGTACATATTCACGTTAACATTACAGTCATACAATGATATGGAGAGGAGATGAAAGAGAGAGAAAGAGAGAAATAAAGACAAAGAGAGAAAGACAGAGAGAGAGAGCGAGAGAGAAAGAAAGACACAGAGAGAGAAAGGGGATACAGAGAAGAGATTAAGTTGAAAGGGACACTTGGAGAGTGAGGGGAAAAGAGGACGGAAGAGAATGCCATTGCAAATTACATGTGAGAATTATTTGAATTGGTGAGTGGCGTGGGGGGGGGGGGGAGACATTCCCCCGATACAAGTACATTCTAATTCATACATTACTGAGAAAAAAAAATTCATAATCGTTGGTGATGAAAAGTAAGATATCAAGTGAGATACGGGGAGACATGCAGAGAGTACAGGAAAAATTGAAAAAGGATATGGAACAGAGAAAGAAATATACATAAAAACACAATATAATAATTTCTAATAAGTTGTATTATTATGGCAAATAAAACATCCTTTAATTACAATCAGGTTATGTCTGTGATTACAACTGTATGGTACTATGTTAAATCTGAAATATGGCATAATGGATAAACAACATAATCCCTTAAAAATTATGGAAGATAACAAACAAATGAATGAAAGCATACCCTTTTGTGTTTTATTTTCACGTCGATCTTTTCAAATTGGCACGAGTATTTATGATTCCTCAATGTCACAACAAAAATCAAGGCGACTATTTGTTTACTTATTCATTTATTCATCCATTTATTCATTCATTCATTTGCAGTTTCAATTTTAAGGGGTACCATTGTCAGTTACAAAACTGTTCAACATTAGCCTTGCTGACCTATGGACAATAACTGTTAAAGATTGGAATTATTGAAATTTCATCGACAAAATCTACATCAACAACAAAAATCAGCTGCAAATAATTATACTATCATTCACAATAATACAGTCTCACATTTTATCACTGTTTCCATTCATTTTGTGGGCACTAAGTACTATTATGAGATAATAGGTACAAGGCAACATCATTAAAGAAAATGCAAAAGAACATTTTGAACGTTCTTAATTTCATTTACCAATCGATATCCAAGCTTTTATGTTTAAGGTACATCATATATAACTTCTAGAATGAAACAATAACGGTGTCCACGAAACCAACAAATATACATATTTCAGTAATTAATATAAGAGTCCCTTTCTTTCAAATCGTCTTATACATTCTTTATAAAAAAAAAAGATACATGAATAGAGTTTCGTATAGGAAGGATATACCAGGATGTAGGGATAAAAATATGAATGCAAATACACGATACAATTACAATCCTTCTGTTTATTCTAAACTTTACACTAAAATTGAGGAAGAAAAAACGGCAGAAGTCGAAAAGAAAGAGGTGAATTTGGGGGAGAAATGGGAAGTACGTCAATAACCCATTTAACATGAACTTGAAGCTACTACCTTATTGTTTGTTAAAGGATTCAATTTCTCTGTTCCCTTTGAATTCAAATTTCTTCCCGATCTCTATTAATGCGAACAATGAAATGCTTTAATAGTCCCTATCGTTTATTCGACTCTAAATGATGCCATCATGTATCTAGAATAAATAAAATACATGTATCAATGAAATCAACACAAGGTTAATGCGTGGCTCCCCAGTGGAATACAAATAAGAATGGCGACATTAACGTACCCTGGGGAATTCACGCAGTTCTCCTCGTCACGGAGACCTTGACTCAATATAACTTCTACGCTATATTCAATGAAATATAACACACGAATGGCTATTTCAGGCATTTTATGAACAGTATTAGTAATGTAGTGAGTGCATTATGATTTAGAAAAAAGTTTTTTTGAACAAAAAGGTATCAAATATAAAACGGAGGTCTTTGAATAAAAACTCAATAGCAAAGGTAACGCGTATATTCAAAGAGCTCGATCGTCTTCGTGTTTCATTGCGTGTAGGCAAGCACTTAAACGAACAATGGGAAGGTTAATGGAGTTGATTTGTTGATGTCAATTGAAATAATGAAAGAAAAAAAGGTTCTACAAGGTACCATTTCAAAAGATCGACTTCAATATTTTCAAGAAAATAGTTACTCAGTAAACGTTTTAAAAGATATTTGACCATCTGTTTTCTGAACGTATTTATACATACATGTATTAAATTGTACACAATTTATCACATTCATTTGAGGTTTTACATGACAATGACAAACCTAATCATTTGATTAGAAACCCAATAAACAGAACACTAAAAAGTAACCTCTTTTGGGAGTGTATTTTTGAACTACATTTAAACGTTATCGACACGTGCCACCATTTAAACAAAAAAGATACTCCTGTTCACGTTCTCATCTAACCTAAACACCACCAGTTTATCACGCGACTGGAGTAACGTGATTCCACTTACCTCTGTAAATCAAGTGTTTATGACCAAATAACCACTTGACCAAGCAACGAGTTTTTTGTCCGTTAACCGATGGTGGCGATAAATACGTAATTATTTGGTCTTGTAAGCACCTTTATCGATTGGTTTCACAGGTTATCCGCGGTTGATGGTAATAATCACGTTACTTACACCGGCTAATTGTCTCATTGTTCTGTCCGTGAATCTCTGGTTATATTAAATTAGTAATTCGGAGGTGTCTTACACACCTCTTTAAATGGTTTCAAAGTTACCATAAATTTCTTGGTTATGATCACGTGGCTCAAGCTGATTACTAATCTAAGCTGTGAATCCGTGATATGTAGGTGTGAAAAATTAGTAATTATTGGGTGTCTTAAAACACCTATTTTAATGGTAGTCAAAGTTGCCATAAGTTCCGCGGTGATGATCTCGTGAGTCAAACGGATTATTAATCTAAGCTGGGCATACGTGACTTTTAGGTGTGAAAAATTAGTCATGGTTAGGTGTCTTAAAGCACCTATTTTAATGGTAGTCAAAGTTGCCATAAGTTCCGCGGTGATGATCTCGTGAGTCAAACGGATTATTAATCTAAGCTGGGCATACGTGACTTTTAGGTGTGAAAAATTAGTAATTATTAGTTGTCTTAAAACTCCTATTTAAATGGTAGTCAAAGTTGCCAGCAGTTCCGCGGTGATGATCTCGTGACTCAAACGGAATATTAATCTAAGCTGGGCATACGTGTTTTCCAGGTGTGAAAATGAGTTATTCTTGGGTGTCTTGATGGTTTCATAGTTACCATTTAAGTTCCGTGGTGATAATACCGTGACTGTTGGCATCTATTCATTGCACCAGTTGATAACTGGTCTGTGTGCATATTTCGAGTTGAATCAGCTGACACCAATTAATTTGCATATTGAATATGGGGTGCGTGCAGATCTATGTTTTTTAAACAATTTATCTAAATTTACAGCATATTTCTTAATTACTGATGATTTAGTTATATGCAATTCATTTCGAAAATACTACAAATATAAATTACCAGTTATTAGGACATTTCGCTACTTCGTATAAATTACATTTAGTTAAACATGAATAAAGGAAACATTAACTATGAACTAAAATAATTTCAATAAAGTACAAGTATACGAAATTGTTTCGATTAATTAAATTATGTAAGTCTACTTATTACCAATGCCTTTACATTGGGAATACAGACGTACCAGTATTGAAGTATTGTTGCTGTTCAACTGGTTGGAAATTAACCAAATGGTTCTAATGACTCAGCTAGACCAGTTGAATTATAACTGGCCTGGATCAACTGGATCATTTAGCCCATTTCAATTTCCAGGGTTACCAGTTGGCATTAAATGGTTCATCAACTGGACCAGTTGCAACTAGCTTTCTCTTCTGGGATGTTTGCACCCACCCCCCTCCCCCTCCCCCCTCTAACCCCAAACTGCTTCCGGCGCGCCTGGACGTAATTATGGACGATCCAAGGCACGATGTTCAGAAACGGGATGATTATTATTATTTTGGTTCATTTATTGTGTAACATTTGCGTAATTATTGGGTTGAACGCGGGTTACAGTAACATACTTCCTCTTCGACGTACATTTCACGTGAATGAAGAACATGATTCATCTCAAGTCAGCCTCGTAATATTCACGTGAATTTCACGCAGATATTTTGACTAAAACTATCACTAACGCTTCACGTGTTTCTGTGACGCGATAACTTCGTTTATGAAGATGTAATTTCATAACCAAACAAACACGGAAGTATTAGGTTTACAAACCATGGTCTCCAAGCTAGGGATAATCACGTTATTATAATGGTGATATTGCAGTGACAATTGCGTGATTTAGTGTACGTGTGTTTTAAGTTACCTAGTGCAATAAACGTATTAACACATTTACGTTAATGTCCGGTGTTTGAAGAACGTAACTCTCCTCAAGTCGATACCTTGATATTGACGTGATTTTCACGTGATTTTGTTTATTGGGAAAGAAGAGAAACTTTAAAAAAAAAAATAAAAAAAAAAAATGTTGCAGAAGTGGTGACATGTTTCGTTTATATGCTTCTTTCATTGATCACATAATTCTGACATTCATTTCTATCTGCGGCCATATCATTGTATTCTAAAAGTCTGCTTTCTGTTGGTATAAATTGTCCTGAATATTTTTTTAATTAATATGGCGGAGGGGGAGGGGGGTTGGGGGAGAATATGAGAAAACTGGATCATATATCAAATTCCTATAAACTTGAAAATATGCGTGAAGTTCGGACATCGTCGTCATCCTCCATTCTTTAGCCTTGTCTCCCAAAGAAAGTAATACATACAAAATTGACATGTACTCTAGGTTGGAAAAAACAAACAAACACATAAAAGCAACAACAAACATGTGAATTTGCATAGGATAACCTTTTCGAATGCCCCAATCCAACTTTCAAATTTAAGGATGCTTTATATTCTAGTACTTTGTATTGATGAAACATGCAATACATCTTTACGAGCTTTCAAGTTTCACAAGGATTACCCCCACTGGTTACTGCATCCTTGACCAGATAAATAAGATGCTTACGTCAATATGTGTACTTTCCATTATCCTTGTACAGATGATAGTTTACAATGAAAATATGCCCAAAGTTAACGTTTAGAGAGCATCTTATATATAAGCTCTGTATTCAAGTTAGTATGCAGTCAAGTCAAATGGAGTCAAATCCAATGGTCATGACATTTTGTATGAACGTGATAGCCCTACTAGTGCCTGAAAATTAGTTGACATCCCGGAGAATGGCCCTGTGGGCAGTGGTGTCACTACATATTCAAAAAAAGTTATACATGACTATCAGCAGAGTTGAAAATGACCGATCTGCAGACTTTCAAGAGCTTTTTTCAACAATTCATGATCTCTTTTTGCCTGAAAACAGGTACAAAACAGGCTCTTAACGTAATAAAACCCTATTTGGGCTTTTCATGTACCATTCCCAAAACATACCCCATTTTCAAGGAATTTGTCTCGTGTTATTCAAGTCACAAGTTCCCCTTTGTACTAAATGACTAATTTATTTGCGAACATCTCTGAATCAATGTCAGTTTTGGTTTGTCATTCCTTTACAATCTGTTGCATTATATGGGACACAACAACTACATATCACTAACAGTTTTTGTGATTATTATTTTGACTTTTGATATGTCTTAAACTACAGGTAATGCAATTCATATATTTCACAAATCTTCCCGCTGCCGTGAAGCAGAGTTTCTTCAGTAGCCTTGGCACACGTACACAATACAATTCATCTACAATAGCATCATATCAATCAAAGAAACTATACTAGGTCTCTTTGTATATAAATATATAAAATATCAATAATCGTTCTTATAATATATACAGTGTATAAAAATATAAAATCACATATACAGAATACTTGGAGAGAATTGGAAGCTCAATGGATATGAGAGTCTCCTTTTCTGCTAATGAATTCATCCATACCATAATACTCAAATCGTGATAGTATCTTCTATTCATCTTTATGATCATACTCAGATGGCGATGGTATCTGTTATTCATCCATGGCATAACATTTAGATGGCGATGGTATATGCTATTCGAATTCCTCCACGATCCATGCCTAAGCCTCATTTCTTTTTCTGTAAAGGAATACAAAATAGAATAGATGAAAAATAAAGGGTACAATGGATAAACAAGTGTTTTTCATTCATTAATTCTGCTTTTGGCAAGATTAGGGTATAAAGCTAAAATTTAGAATTGGTTTGAATTCTTATAAGATTCAAGAAAAAGTGACGTAACCGGAACATGTTACATCAGTCTTTAACTTGGATTGTGAAATAGCAACACAATTGATATGAAAGATGTACGTGAATTTTGCTCTATTTAAACAAAATCTGGTAATGTGGTAGAATTTTTTTTTTTTCATGTATCATTTAAATAAAAATGTCATATTTTTGTCTTTTCTTTCAGGGTTTCTCTTGATACAACATTTTAATATTTTACCCTTCACCAAGAAATCTGAAGTCACTTTTCAAGTACATTCTCTGTGCTTTTTCATGCAGTGACTTGCTAATGGATTCAATGAACTCAATTAAGGCAATAACTCTTTTCAAAGCATCAGTCTTTGTATTTGTTTTCCTCAATATCATCTTCCACTGTTTGGCAAAGTTTAAGATTTGATTTGAGTTTAAAATCACAGGAAGGTTTTGGGATAGCGGTTTTTAAATGATTGCATTTAATTCAAGTATTAATAATCCCAATTCAATTAAGAATTGTTGTTTCAAGTGTCAGCCAAATGCTTGTCTTTCCTTAATTTCATCCTCTGTAGCTTTACAAAGTTTGTTGAAAGATTTAAATGAGCAAATCCTGGGAAACCTTGAAGATGATATTTTAAATTCAATTTGTTGTCAGACTGAGGCACATTATAAAGCAAAGAAAAATCAAAAGCTGTGCCAATCAAACCAGGTCATAAACTGCACTTGTACATGTATCTGCATGCAGAAGGTAATAAATAACTTGTTTGTTTATTTATTTGATTATTATTTTCTTTTAGGTCGATTTTTTTTTTGTCTGTAGTACACAATGATGCAAACAAACACAAACGCTATGCCAAGCTAGGCCATATACTGCACCTGTAGCTGGGCAGGAGATAATCAATAGCATTGCTTTTCTCTTTTAAATGACAAGGCACCAATCTATAAATGTCTGTTTTGCTTGCATTTTGCCCAAAGGGTTAATTCAGAAGTACAAAAAGAAAAATATTACAGTGTGGTGTTTATGAAGAGTTGAAGACTATAGAGCCAAAGGACTTGTGTATCAACACAGAGTCCAATTTACTTATTGTGCAGAGAAGATCTAGATTTTAAACTTGAGGAGAATTAAAACAAACACGCCTGAAGTAGGAAGTTCCCTCATATATAGACCAAATCTGAAAGGATGCTCATAATCTATGGCCAGTACATAACTTTCTCTAGTATGAGTATGAATTCCTCCAAGCTAGGCACTGGTCCTTTCTTAATAATGAATAGAGTATTAGAGAACAGATAGCCATCAAGAAAGAAACAGTTCATTCTCTCATCATAATAACCTAGGCTTCTACATTGCATTTCATCTTTCGGAGAACTATAAATGCGCCTTACAACAATAAAACACCAAAATAACAGATAACTACTAATTCATGAATGAAAGAACAATGATAAAAAGAACAAGATTAATCATAACACTTATCAACATCAATTATAGACAAATGAAAGCAAATTATGACAAATTATAGTATCATAGTTTACATTATGATGAAATACAATAATGCAATTAATATGGCATCAGAAAACATTTTTGAAGAAGTAAAATTTTAATTGCAGTTAAGTCTGTGATGGTTCAGAGGGTATTGGGGAGGGAATTCTAAAGACGAAAACAGCCTCGAGAATTAAAAGCTTTTGAGCATGTGTGTAATTAAATAGCTATTAATACTTAGGTAGCTCAGCGAAATGTAATGGTATGAAAAGGCAAGTGCGGACCGCAATACGTGTACCAGTAAGTGATGATAGTGATTAAATAGTTCTTATTTGATAAATCTTAATGAAAGTTATAGTATTGTTTCGCCTATAATCAAGACAGTGCATGTATTTACAAGCTCCATATCCCAATGTGGTTCTACATGTAACTCTATGTAATACAAATATGATTTTTCAACATTGTGCATTTTGCGTTCCATTTTTTTTTTATCTCATTGCATTTTGCTAGGCTACCATTTACATGTACAAAGGGAAATGAACAAACTAAAAAAATAATGTGTTTTAGTTGTATTTATTTCCTGTCTGTACTTTCAGGGTTTGAATTTTGTATTTTGTTATATACAAATTCAAATTCAGATCTTTGTTCACAACTTTATGAACAAAGATCTGAAGTTTTAAAACTTGTAATGATACAGAGCAGGATAGAAATTTTATTTTTACATCAAGGAACTAGAATATAAAAGACACAAGCTATAGAGTTTCCTTGAATCCTTGAAAAATCTTTTGAACTTTCATAAATACAAAGAAAAAAAACATAACACCATGCAGCAATTTGGAAACTAAGTTCTAAATATTAAAGATAAAGTTGAGTTCTGGTCATGCGATTGCATTGTGAAAGAAATGGTGTGGGATCGATCAGAAAAGGTTGACCATCTAGCATATCAGAATTGGTGTGTACTGCAAGGTTCTGGAATCATGAAACTTATGATAAGAAATTTGGCCCAGTATTGTTAAGTTACAAGCACTATAAACACAGAAAGATGTACTGGTATATGGGGCTACACGAACATGTAACATAAAAATCTGTCCTCATTTTTGTGTTGTTACATGCCATATTTAGAATATAAAAGCATGCTTTCAGGGTATTTTCTCTGATTTTCTTCCACACTTGCATTATAGCAATGAAAATGCTCACAAATTATTTCTCACTTCTACCCAGAACTCAACCTTCTCTTTAATTACCTATAATTGGTGCCATGCAGAGCTGGGGTAATATGGCAGTGCCTCGAGCCCCTTGGGCGATGGATATGTGCGCTCTTAAATTATCCAATATTACTATTATCACTTTTATAGGAATTTGGAGGCAATCAGGACAATTTTTCTTTTCCGTAAAGACACAAACAAAATTTACAGAGCGAAAAAAATCTTTTCAGGAGATACTATTTATTACTCCATACATTTAGTCATGACAAGAGGAAACAAACATCAGGAAAATTGACAGGAAGGAAAAAATTGAAATTTGACCATTATCAAGTAATATGTGTAAACTGTCATCCTCTGCCCAGGGAGAGGGAAAAGACCCTCAGGTTTCTCCTCCCTATATTACTCATTATAATAGGGATGTGTAGTTGGATACATGGGTTTCTTCTCTACAAATAAAGTGTTTTGAAGCAACTTCACTTTTTTTTCAATTTTTAAAGAAGGATAACTAGAACAAAATAAGCCATTTTGAATGGCAACAAAACAGCTACCGTATAGTGAAGAGAATGGTAAAATGGATAGATAACAGAAAAAAATGGCAAAAATGGAGAAGAAACCAAATCTAAAGTAAATGAGCCCTGACATCAGTTCACTTCTAAAAAGAAGTAGTAGTTAAAAGTATTTCATGAAAATGTATAATTAGAAATGCATGTACAAGAGTAGTACCATATAATCATTAGTATCATGCCAATCATAACTATGTCTTACCTTTTTCTTGCCTTTGCCTTTTTTCTTCTTCTTTTTATTCAGTCCGGAACCAAGCTTCATGATTTCTCCAAACGTATCTCCATTCATGCGATGAGTAACCGCGACCTTGACCCCATCCAGCCCGTTTTCTTTCCTCGCTTTTAGTCCCTCCATGATCTCTCTCCCCCCTAAATCACCAATGAGATTGTCATCCAAGTCCAGCTCTTGAAGGCATGCAGAATTTTCCACTAACCTGTAGAAGGGGGATCGAGGGGAGATGAGTTGAATGAAATTATAGTAATAATGAAGTAAATAAAGATTTTAACTCTATCCAGCCCTGCCTCTTTCCTTGCCCTTAGTCAAACCATTATCTATCCCCCCCCCCCCTCCCCTAAATCAGCAATGGAATTATCGTCCAAGTCCAGCTCTTGAAGGACCACTAGTCTGGGGGAGGGAGGGGGGGGGGAGTTGATTAAAAGCATAACGTCATAATGAATATTGTCTTGAGTTACTATACTTTTGTGGGAACAGATCCAGGATAAATCCCAACACTAGTAACCTTAACTCTAACATTAACCCTAACCTTAATCCTTAATCCTTAACTTTTACCCTAGGGCCTAATCCTGACCCTAACCATGATAGAACCTAATCCTAACCCCTAACCCCTAACCCTAGGGCCTAACTATGACCCTGATTCATGAGCCTATGGTCTAACCCTGTACCTGACCCTAATTCTATCACTGAGTCCATACATGTTATGGTACTGATACAACAGGAGTATTCAGCAGTTACTGCTCTTTTAGGACTTGCAAATGTATATGTACACAAACAATTTACTTTGCATCGATCCAGTGTATTTTAAAAGTATTTTCACCAGACAATGCAAAAGCAATATTAATATGGGGCAAGGTGCAGCGTATCTCTACGGGCACTCTGTAAATCTAAATTTAGGAATTAATGATAATAGCTCCATATACATTTATATCACACGCAAATGCCTCCCAAGGGATTCTCAAAGCACCTCTAAAGTAGAACTATTATCCAGGCTTAAGCCAAGCCGCCCTAAGGCAACTAAATTAGCATTCAAGGAATTACTTGCTACAGGGTAAAAGTACCTATTATTGGCTATTAACTACACCTGGTTTGAGAGTGACAATTTGTTGATTATACTTTCAGACATTAGTGCTGCAGCTTGGACCTGAACAAGCTCTGATTGAAACCATTTTCAGAGAGCAAACCACTTTTTGAGACTGTCCCGCCCCCTCCCCCCCAAAAAAAAAATTTAAAAATAAAAAAATTCAAGTGATGGTGTTGTGGTTCCTTCGCATGACTTTTACTCAAGGGTTTGAGAGTTTGAATCTCAGCTAGGCACTTGTGTCCTTTAGTAAGACATTAAACCACATTTACCACTATCCACCCAGTTGTAAATAGGTACCTGATGTGTTGGAGCAGTAAATAATAATACTACTAATAACGTAACACTTAGATGGTGCTTAACACTCATGTTTCTATTAAAGCGCTGTACTACTTTTACACTGATATTAGCACAACTACCCTAAAAGGCACTCTGGCATTTGAAGAATTTCTTCCTACCAGGTACCCGTTTACACCACAAGGGTGGAGAGTTGCAAATGCAGATTAATGTCTTGCCAAAGGACATTAGGGCAGCGGTTGGACTCGAACCTACAAATGACTAGAATAACAAAAGCATCACAGTCTTACAGACATGGGCCCTTATATTTTTTCTTTTATTATGAAGTCCACTAACATTTCATTCTAAGTCTAGTGGGGGTTAACAAAACCAGAGAGAATAGATACTCACGTTCTAAAGAGCCTCATTGCTATGATTGGTGCATAGGTTGACCCTTTCCCGTACATGTCAATGCCGTTGTCTGCTACGTGGAGTTTGTAGATCAAGGGACCCTTAGGGGGAGGGCCAGGGGGCTCTTTCGATTTCTTTTTCTTCCCTGCAAAAACAAAAGTTATGGTAAGTGTTATTAATTATGCTTCACTTCATGACTATAATTATGCTCTTTATTAATAATACAGTGTGAGTTAATAAAAGGAAACCTGTACTCAAGCTCCAATATCTTAAGAAGCAAGTAAAATTACTGAAATGTATAACATAAAAATTGATACATACAGTTGATAATTTCTTCTTTCATTTGATATGTTACTCATCCAAATGTGATCACAGATGACTAAGCACTGACCTTTTGGTGTGTAAAGAATGTCTTAGTTGCCTCTGCTGTTTCCGTCTCATAGCTCGTTTTATTTTTCAATTTAATTCAATTCAATGCAATTCAGCTAAATTGCATCACTGCAGTTTGATTTTTGATGATTGTTTGACTTGACTGCTAAGAAAGTATGTATATGCTTTTAATTATTAAAGCAACCAGGGGACCGACAGCTTAAAGTCCTCTCCAAGGGACTTGGTAATGAGGATTAATGCCTTACCAAAGAGCATGAGTGCATCAACTTGGTTTTGAACCCGGGACCTTCCGGTTGTGAAATTACTACTGCGCTACCACTGAGCTACATGTATCAAGCCTCCTCAGCCTACAAGGATAAAAGATTTTGAAAGCCAAAACTTACCTTTCTTCTTCTTTTTCTTGCCACTTTTTGAGCTCTTGGCTGATGATGGTTTTGATCCTGGTTCATCGAAGGCCGTCCTTACCCGACTCCTTTCTTTTTCTGTCAACATGAAAGCACAACAGAAAGAGAGAGGTAAACAGACAGAGAGAGAGAGACAGAAAGACAGACAAGAGAAAGATAGATGGACAGAGAGAGAGAGAGAGAGAGAAAAAGAGAGCGGAGAGAGAGAGAGAGAGAGAGAGAGATGAAACTTATTTATTTGTTATCCTTTGAAGGTATTCTTTAATAACAGATGCAAGACGATACAGATTCAGACAGCGATGAAATTGAGCTACTGATTATATGTCCATATACAAAAAAGCTGTCAAGATTTTATCTTTCCTTTTTGATGGACTTGATATAATTTGTTTTAAATTCAATGAGAGTTCTCATGTCCTTTTATCAAGAAATCACAATAGGATTCAATAACAATTGTACGTGTAGTATCTATGCATAAAAGTAAATTAAAAGAAAACTCTCTCTTAAATACTGAGACATTTGGCTTGCTTAAATGGATGGTCAACAGCACCCCTAGCTCCCCCCCCCCTCCTTCCCCCAAACAAAAATCTCTCTCCCTCTCTCACTCCCTCTCAATTTCTCTCTATCCAAATACACATGAACATGTATGTGTCTCTCTTGATTTCTCTATCTCAGTCTTTTCTTTCTCAACTTTTTCTCTTTGATTTTTGTTCTTTCTTGTTTGCTTGTAGAAGAATGGCTTTTGCTCTGCACTTCTCTACTGCTCTTTGTCTCTTTCCCTCTGTTCTGTCTCTCTCTGTCTCTCTCTGTCTCTCTCTTCCTCCCTCTCTTTTAATCATACATGTTCAAATATCTTCCCTAGTTGTCTATGCTGCCTCTCTTTCTCTCTTACAATCTCTGTCTCTGTCTTTCTGTCACACTCAACTCACTCTCCCTCCTTACTCCTACCCTACCTACACCTACCTGCTAACAAAGCTAGAGCTTCTTCATCTGCTTTCTTCATGGCTTCTTGACCTCTGTGATAGCTCTCTGTTTCAGCATGGTCCACTGCTAGTCTTATCAGTTCAGACACACCCTCTGCTTCAAGGTTATTCCCATTCAGGTACACTTCCCTGGGGTGGGGCGAGAAAAGGAAAGTCAGAATTACACATCCTCATCTCCATGTATAACTTGGTATTCTATAATCATAATATTGCAACATAAAACAATTTTTTTTAGGTAAACTGTACAGTATTTGCTCCTTAGAGAATGCTACGCATCAATATCCTACACTTACAAAATTCTTATCTTCAACTTTAGACCCAACCTAACCCTAAATCTTCACCTGTAGACAGGTAATAATAGTTCTTTTAATGATTCTATTAAGATCGAGTATCTTATTTTTGGTTCATTGATTACACATCCACATTATTAATTCTTCATGTATTTTTGCAAAACTTTGCTTGCAAATATATCATCAAATGATGAACCATTTATCTCAGAATTTCTTGATTTTTCTAATACACGCTTTCTGAAACTCCAAAACCAAGTAACGTACCCCTTTCTATGTTCGCAAAAATACCTGAACATTAATCTTTTATAGAAAAAATTAAACTATAATGTGTAAACAAAGTCCATATCGAGGGTTCAGTGACACAAAGACGTAACTCCATATTTTGCCAAAATGAGCATTTGATATCAAAATGTTCAGAAAAATGTGGGCTTTCCAGGAAACACAAAGACTTAACCCCACCACACACCCCATTGAAGTCAATGGCTAGTGAAACATAGAATTAACTCCTTAAGGCCCAAGTGCTCAGTGACACATAAATTACTTTTTCTCAAAATGGCACAAATGGAGTTACATCTTTGTGTCACTGACCCCTCGATATGAAGCTGAACTAGTGGGATTTTGGTCATGGGTATGAACCTACCTGATGGCTGTTGTTGAGACGACCTGACCTAGGACCGTTCCACTCTGTACCCCTAGACCACAGTAACACAGACTAAGACTTATCATGGTCTCGTTCTTCATTAGACCTTTACATATTCCTATGCAGCCACTGTCACCAATCCTAGAAAAAAGAAGAAGAAGAAGAAGAAGAGGTGGAATAATATATAAAATAATATTTTAGAAAATTAGGAACAACTACAGAATATCCTATTGCAAACCTGGACCAGTAGTCGATCAATTCATTACTAAAGTTTGAAATATGAGTATTTTACTTAGTCTTCAGCTTAGATAAAATACTTAGGCAATTCGTGTATTAAGTTCAAAATGTTGGTTATGTGTTTTACCATAAATTCAAGACAGCTCCCTACCAGACTTAAGCCAATTATTTGGAGGCCTTGATTGGTGGGCATATGGTTTTCTAACGCAGTATCATAACCTGTACACAATTATTTAACGCACATTTATTGCAATGCATTAATTGCGCATTACTTTTGAATAACCGTGTGATGTTAGTAGATGTCATAATGCTTATCGTAAGTATTTTCCTTAGATTTTGTCTTACGTATGCAAAGTCTAAAATGCAATTCGAACACAAGAACAGTAAAGTTCTTAGCTTAGTAATTTACTTAGTAAATTTCTTACTTATTCTAAGTATTGAATTGAATACCGGCTCAGAACCCTAGTCCTTGGGAAATCAAGGAAATTCTTGCTGACTTTAATAAATGATAATTATGATGATGATAATGTTATTATGTATATCTTATTTTAATATATGATTACCAGTAGAAAAATGCAACAAATACTTGACCTACTCATTATAGTCCAGGGAGAGAGTGGTGATACTGGTTAACCCTACACAATTCCTCAGGAGTCTCTCAGCTGCATAGGATTCTACACTGCAGTCAATAAGCTCCAACCTGGAGATGGGGTAGGGGCCTTTCTCCATCATCAAAGCCTGTAGTGAACATTATAAATCGTATGAATTTATATGAACACCAATTTTTCTTCCAATTGGTACACTGTCAAAGCTTTGTTTCCTTTTTAAAAACATATGGCCTGTCTGTTCACAGCCAGGAAGGCATTAACTCACCATATTTAATACTGATATCTTCTAATTACTTGCAAAAAGATGTAAACTTGCAGTAAACTTGCAACACAATGTACTTTCAGAGAAACCTGAATATTTGTTCACTTTTTGAAGGTTTATCAGTTGCAATAGAAGAATATGAGTACTGCTTCAAAACAACTACCATACAAGGAAATTTTTAATGATATCTAATTTCAATCATTTTCTTTCATGAGGACAACTCCTTCTTCCATTACCAGTTACTACCACAACTCAAGAATATCTTGCAATCGTTTCGGGCATAACAGACAGAACTCCTTATACTCACTAAATTGGCAACGTCAGCATGCTTGAGAGGAATGTCCCACACATGAAGTTCTTTGATGTACTTGAATCTCTCGGCTCTGATGGCTAAAATCAGGGGGTCAAGCTGGACATTGGTCAGCTCCGGGTCCTCAAAGCCTGGGATCGGCTCCAAGATGAACTGATTGGACAGCAGAAAAAGAGAGTATAACATTACTGGGAGAAACTTGTCGGATCCCATCTCCCCCTCTCTCTCTCTCTCTCTTTCTCTCTCCCTCCACCTTGTTTTTCTTGTACATCATAATCTCTCAACTTTGGGATTGAGAATTCTGTTTCTGTCTGTCTTCCTCCCTTTCCTTCTACGTCTCTCTATAATGTATCATTTACTAGGCCTCTTGTCACATCCTCTCCTTCTATCCATCTCTCTACTTTATTTTCTTTTTCTTAGATTTCTTTGCTTAAATAGACGCCTGCAGAAACTTCCTTCTCATTCATGTATGTGTAGGTGTAGAACCCTATTACATGTAGTTGAAGAGTTTAATAGTTAATTATATAGTTTAATATCACTGTTTTTATTAAACCACTTCACATATTGCTTAAAAACAATCCCCACTAACATGACATTTTTCTGTTTTCATGATTTATGTTACTGTGGTAACCCTAAAATGATTGGTCGGCGAAAAACTCAATTTTGGGGGATCATTCCCAAAACTCAAGACTATCTGAAATCAATTGATAAATCAATATCAACTTTACCTTGACTGCAAGCCTGTTGTCCTCAAAGCAGTCCTTGAGGAACTTCTTGAGATCAGGAGAGACGACAGTGTTCTTGGCCTGACACTGGGCTATGTAGACCCTCTGGAGTCTTTTGACAACATCGCCAGGGTTCTCTAGCATCCCTTTCTTGCTCTTCTTCTTCTTCCCTTTCCCCTTCCCTTTTCCTTTCCCTTTCCCTTTCTTGCCTGGCATGATGCAAGCTTTTAGTCTGTTATCTGCTTACAGTCAGTGTATGTTTACAGCACCCACGTTTGAGTATCCAGGGATCCTGAAATCATTCCAGCTGAGAAATAAAATTGTTAAAGATAAATATTTATTTGACAAGAAATAATCATTAGATCTACAATTTGAATACACGTTTTTTTTATTAGTATAAATGTTAGTCCTTGTCATTGTCATCAGTAACATCATTATTATTAATATTGCTATTATCATACTTATCCTCATAATCATCATCACATGTACATGATATATATCTACTGGAAAAATACAGAGATCTGTAGCCGACTTTCCAGCCAGGTCTGTCATCCAATTGTTATATTCCTTCTCTCTACATCCACTACTTCTACAATAACTTAATCTAATTACTTTCTAATATGACTTTGTCAATGTGTAATGTATACATTTCCTTAATATCATATGATGTTGATCAGCATCATCATCATCATTATTTTTTAATATTATTAAAGTTCCGAAAATATAACCCCGCTTTCAACGAATATATCACACAAAAATGCTTACGTGGGACCGTAGTAATTTTGGGTCAATTATAACTCCTTCAACGTTCATCTTTCGTGTAATTTCTATCAGGAAAACAGTCTAAAGAGATCCAATTATCTAACACATTTAATTTAATGATATCACACGATCTACTCACATGGTGGTTGATGTTGACACGTTTTCCTGTAGATTAAAAATCAAAATTTATCGGCAAATTTCAAGGCTTTCCAGAATTGTTTATATTGTCGTCAATGCGACCCGATCGACCGCAAGTGGCGCTAGACTGGAAACTTGTTCATGGTCAATGGAATACTCCACACAAAGCTAACTTACAATATTATTATATCCAGCCAACAAGCCGTTCTTGAGGTATAAAACAAAAAATCCCCTAGTATTGCTGCCTCGCATCAAAAGAAATCTCTAGGATTAATCCAGAGGGGCGGATAGAGATACTTTTTATTGAACGTATCCCCTATCCCTTGTTTTAAATTATTTTTTTGTCAGTCCATGAAAGAGGATTGTGTGCGTTCCTTTCGAAAGACATCAAAATCGTCGAGGTAAATTCCATTTGGCTATGATATCTGATCTTTATATCACTTTAGCTAAGGAATATATATGCAGTTTTGTCTTTTCTCTCTCTCTCAACCCTTCTCGACCTCATTTTCTTTCACGTGATATCCGTCACATATACCTCTCCCATCTCTCTTTTTTTCTCTCTCTCTCTTCCTTTCTCTATCCACCCCCTTCTCTCTCTCTCTCTCTCTCTCTCCCTCTCCTTTTCTCTCTATCTCCCTCTTTCTCTCTCTCCTATCCCCTCACTCCTTCTCCATTTTCTTCCCTGTCCAACCACCTCTTATCAAACACACCAAGATACTCAAGTTGACAAAATAGATCAATGCATATACGTGTAATTATAATCAAGTGATAAATGCCTCATCTGAGTTTTATTCATTTTCTTTCACATAGATTTGCTCTTAATTCGCTTTGCTGAAAATCGTTTTGATCGTTTTTCTTATTTCGTCTTTCAGGTGCCTTGATTAAACTGCTAGAAACACAGAATCAATTATTTATTTCAGCACTAGAAGTACATTTGGTATTAATGACAAACAACAATACATGGCACAAATTCTTCCAGTCTGAAATAATTCTCTAGTCTTATTCATGGACCTCTTTTTTCTTTCTTTTTTACATTTAAGCAGCAATTTTTTTTTGTTAATGATTACCAAGTCGAGAGAATGCAGTAAAGTATTAGGCGCATTATACATGTGAGCTATTATTATTATTATTTGATATGAGAGGAGCACATTATCAACTCACGTGGCATCTCAATATCCTAAAACGGAGTCGACTTTTCAACACAATTAAGCCTTTTTCATGTACATGTATTTTCATTCGGGGGGGGGGGGGAGCCATTTCGCCCTCGATCAGCTTATCATTTCACATTTAAAAGGGGTTTGATTTTGAATTGATCTATAACCACTCTCTTGATTACAAAACATGTACGATACAAATGAGATGAGTAAATAACATGGATGGATAGCGCCTTTCCTGATATGCGTTTACAGCACAGCTGTTCTCCCGAGAGGCACAACAAGGGGAATATGAGAGTCACGGTCCGAATCGTGCAAATATCTTGGAAAGTGTTAGCTTTAAAAGATATTATTCTCTCATTGCTTGTGCATTCATCGACAAAAATGCTTGCTTCATGGATAATTCCCTTTTCAGACCGTCGTCTAGCATTAACACATCTTACTAATGTGATTAAATTTTCTTTTGCGACATGTCAACGTTCACTTTTGCACAAATTGTGGTTTTTATTCCTGGCTATTATGTTAAAGGCTAGAATATTCCTAACCTCAACACCATACTTGCTTTATACCACTTGCAGGGATTATCAGCATATTTAAGCAGTTAGACACCCGGCGAAAATTATTATGATCTTGAATATCGGCTATCACAGGACCGTGAATATACAGTTACATATTTTTTGCCACGTTGTATGGCATATTGAGACACTAATTGGTATGGAATCGCTGTACAAAAGCTTGATATTTCCCTTGTACACGAGGCGTTATTTGCAAACACAGCCCTGCGTCATTGACTTAATTACACGATGTTTGACGCGGTTTATGAGGGAGAAATCATACACAATTTAAGTTCTTTCTCATGACAGCCGATTCATTTATTTATGTAGAACAGCAATTTAATCATTTTGAACCGGAAACTCAAGTTGAACAGATTTTAGGTCACCTTTAATATCACAAATTCAAACTGTCAACATATCTAGCCAATATGAAAATAATAAGTGTCCCGCGTACGAATAGTTCTATTCAAATTTAAATAGATTCTATTCAATATTTGTAAAGATATTTTTGAGATAATGAATGCAAATAAGCAAAACAAATTTTACATTGAATTATTGGCGTATGCGCTAATTACCTACACAGGTCTAATTAGCGCAGGTAACGACGTCTCGTGCGCAACGGCATTTACCCACGTAAAATTTTTCCTCCATTTTCAGTTATAAAAAATAATATACTATTATACTAAAATTATTTCAGTTAAAACAATATATAATTCTTTCGTACGTACGAATATCAACATGATACAACACAAACATATGCAACATATATATGGTATTTTGAAACATTCTATAATAATTTATTATGTAGAATTATCTTTACAGTTCCTGTCAGAAAGACGTACGAATGCATAAGTGTTTCAGTGTCATAAATGAAATAGTACATAAATACATACTATACAGCGTGGTATATGATACTCTCAAGAAATGATTTAATACCAGGAAAAAATTATCTTGCTTTTTAGAAAGCAGTTTTTTACGACCTGATTATTTCATTAAACAAAAACATATAATGAACGAAAGTGTCTTCACATCTAACTCACTCAAATTTTAAAACTATTTCAAAGTGAACTAAGAGAAAATACCTACAAAATTATTGAAGCGACTATCTTTGAAGATTCTAAAAAGAAAACCAATCTTTTGATAAAACGAGACCACAACAAAATAGATTGTTCTTGAAACACAAAACAGAGGAAAGTAATTGACCTTCTCCTGTACCAATGAAAAATTTAAACGATCCTAAACTTGACTCTTAATAAACTATATAGTGTATTATGGGCCAAGAGCCAGAAGTGGCAATTGGCGTGGACAAATTAGGAGTGTGCCCTTTCCTTACCTACCAGCCCCCTCCCCTCTCCCACCCAACCACCACAAGCCCCACCCACTCCTCCATCGCTGAAGGTTCAAATACACATAATAATCAAATGAGCCTATTATTTAAGTATTCTACAATTAAATTTAGCATGTTTAGATACCGGGCGAGTCTAACGTGCAATTTGGCGAGCTTGGTGCTGATATTCCAGAATCGTCTGTTTGGACGCTACTCCTATCAATGCTTTCATCAAGGGCTGTACAAGCTTCACGGACAGCGTCTAGACCGAACCTCTTTGAAGCCTTGAAGACTGACTTCACGTCTCGCTGCGATATGGCTATCTTGCCGGTGTAGAAATAGTTCAGAACCTTCTGCAATGTGTCGGGGTTGATCCTCTTGATGAAAACATCCATTGTTTTCGAGCCATCAAGCTCTCTTTGGCAAATTGCTCCAAGGGATGGGCTGTGGACTTGAAGAATAACCCGATGGCACGGAAAATCGCGCGTGGCTGTTCGCAGGACAACGTCGACGAGCTGACCCTCCTTGCGAATTTTGTAAAATTCTCGAAGCATCTTAATAGCAAAAGATCGATCTTCAAAAGAGAACAGTTCTGATGAAGCTGAACTTGGAGCGTCGTTAGAGGATTCGCTACTACTTGCCGATATGCGTCGACTGACTGAAGTAACATGATCAGGTAAGTATAGAATACCGACATCTGGATGCTTCCGACCAAGTGCTTCATTGAGGCTTGCAATACCCTCTAAGAGTTCCTTGGCACCGTTGGCCTTAGGACTCGTCACTATGTGATCCTGGAATGGCGATACCTGCGCAGTCTGAGGCGACTCAACCAACGGCGAAGCACCTAACAGAGGACTTGGTGAAAACAGTTCAGATGTTTCGCTACCACTGAATCCACTTCCACTACTGGACCTTCCACTTCCAGGGTGGAAGATCTGCCTTCCGGGTGCCCGGGTAGGAGTCTTTGATCTGTTTCGGTTCTCTCTCAAAGAGCGGCCCAGATAAACATGACAGGCTTCACCGATCTCTGGGAAACGGAAGACGGAAGCTAGTTCTTTAAGTTTGCGGACGCGGTCTCTGCTCATACCGCTTATTGATCCAGTATAGGCAAAGTCCACCAAGTACTGCATGATGTTCATATCCACGCCCTGCATCTGGATGATCTCTCTTCGCGAAATTCGTCCAGATTCGCTAAAAAGCATTCCGCGGAAGTACAGGCTGCTGGCAGCCATGACCAGCCGATGACAATGGATCTCGCCGGTCGAGAACTGCAAAATCAAGTCACTTAGTAGGCAATCCTTGCGGAAATCATTGAGTATTCTCATTACATCTGACGCGCGAGGGGCGCCAATCAACGTGGAGCTTCCGCTAGAACTCACAGTAGAGGACGCGCTAGACATACTCAATTGAGAGTTTAACAAGCCTGCCATCTTGCCCGGAGGTGAGACAGGGCTCTGCCCCTCGCCCTTCGGCGTCGAGGCCCTTGGAGGAGAAAACTTCAACATTGGGATGCAGTTCAAGTCCAATCTAATCCCGCAATACCCGTTTACCCGGTCGTCGCGATCTAGACTTGTGTCCCTCTCACAGCTCACCCCGCGTCGGTTCTGACACTGCCTTGTCCGACCTGAAGCTGAGGCTGACCTGGAACGACGACTTACAACACGAGCTGATGGAGGTCTGGTCTTGGTGTCCCTGCCGGACATGCCTTGGTCACGACGAGACGCCATGATTGAGCGTTATCTGGAAAGATACGAAAATGGGTAGATACAGTGAATGAGGATATATCTTGACTGTAATATCAAATGAAATATAAGGGACATAATTATGTAGTTAGTCGGAAGAGCATTTATATTGTAATGAAATTGTCTAGAAATGAAGGTGAAATATAAATTACATTCCCTCCCCCCCCCCTCCCTCCCGGAGAGAGAGAGAGAGAGAGAGAATCGTACAAAGAACATTGGATAGGAGTGGGATCATGTGGGATCGCTACGAGATGGCGTAATGCACGACTTCAAGTTTCAAAGAATTAATCAGATACACGTATTCTATACACGCAGAGGTTAATAATATGATTGCGAGAATGCAATGCAAGAATTTAGGTAGATAGATACGAGCATGTGGCGGCTGGCTCGTTGAGGGGAATTGCTTCATCTCCTCATCCTCCCTTCGACCCCCTCTCAATTCCCCCTCCCTACCCCCTACTCTCTCCCTCTCTCCTCTCTCCCTCTCTCTCTCTCTCTCTCTCTCTCTCCCTCTCTATATATTGCTTTTCCTTTTCCCGTCACCATCGCCTGAGGATTGCTCTTCACTCATTATTCTCTCTTTGTGAAAATGTTTCAATTTGTCAAACGGAACCCCGGGCCCCATTGTAGCTGCACCCCTAACCAAAGGTGCATACATTGATGATGCAAGAAAATACGACCCTCATAAATTCTGAGGCACAACCTCTTCATTGAAGATCCACATCTCAGCGCGCATGCATGATGAGGTATACCGGTCATGACCGTCCGAGATTCAACACCGTTGTCATGGTGATAGAAGATATCGCGCATTTGGTTTGCCCGAAAAGTTGTTCAGTCAAGAAAGGGGCCAAACAAAAGGTAGGGTATACTTTAATTTCATTGGTAATCATCTACTTCAGCTTATTCTCCTCCTCCTCCTCCTCCTCCTTCTTCTTCTTCTTCTTCTTCTTCTTCTTCTCTTCTTCTTCTTCTTCTTCTTCTTCTTCTTCTTCTTCTTCTTCTTCTTCTTCTTCTTCTTCTTCTTCTTCTTCTTCTTCTTCTTCTTCTTCTTCTTCTTCTTCTTCTTCTTTTTCTTATTTTGAAGTAAACCTTTTCCCTCCATTTTACCTTTCTTCTTTTCTTATTTATATTCGGCGGATCTTCCTCAATCTTAAATTCAAATTTGATTTTCGAATCATTCCATCTAAACGCCACTTTCAATTTTGATATTTGCAGTAGTTCTTTAGTAGTTCTCTTTTTATTTGTATGTCGAAAAAAATTAATAGAATCGAATTCATTTCTATTTCAACTCAATCTACCAGAAAAAAAAACAGATATAAATATAGAATCGAATTCATTTCTATTTCAACTCAATCTACCAGCTATTCTGAAACCTTTTTGAATGTAAAGAGGTATTAACTCTTGGTCGTCATGTTTTCCAATTCGAACACTGGCTTTGACTATCATGACGCCAATCCCTCGTCATTGAACCTAAACAGTGTAGTGTCATACGGAAAATGCTCTCGGAGATCGAGCTGCAGAGTTTGATGCACGAGGACCGAGCGTGGACGAGACAGATTCGCCTTGATTATGGTAGATTGGACCCAGATTGGCAGGGGAAGCGCCATCGTTTAATCCCATTTGGTTCAATAACTTATCAATGATTGAATGGCTAGTGTAGACTGTGTCGCTTCGGGGAGAAAGTCCGGTTATTGGCATTGTATCGCCTCCGGTAAAGGTTATGTAGGTGTCCAAGTGGAAGGATGCATGCTGTGAAGGAAATCCTATGTTACATGAAAAATTGACATTGATCCTTCATGTTCACATGGATTTCCATAAAGAAATTCAATTATAATCTGTTTAGGGGCGTAATATGGTGAAGACTCGAGGCAGGGGCAAGTGGAGGGCTCCCTGTTCACCTTTTCTTTTTATTGAGAGAGACAGGGTTGCCCATGTAATGTATCGATACATAAAAATGAAATTGTAAATAACTGACGTATTATAGTACATGTATTAGAAACAAAAACAAATTATATACAAAAAGGAAACTTTCTTTTGGACGGATGGAAAAGCTGAAGTAGAAGCCAATGATGATTTCTCTTCATAATACTTCAATATTTCTTCAATGTTTCTTCAATGATATATATCTGATGAATAGGAAATTCTTGTGATTTTTTTTCAGGGAATGACTAGCATTGAATAAAGTATAGAGATTCAAACACGCTTTAGTCTCAACATACAAAATGGTCAGATCGTAAAGATTATTTCTGATCACTAATTATTTTTACATGCAAGACAATCCAGAAACATTTATCTAGGAATGAATGAAAATGTACTGGAAGGAATGAAGACAGTGTTTCTGGGCAGGTTACCCGCTTCTCTTATCGACGGTATGCAAGTTGAAAGTTCTCTTATTGAGAAGGTGGTAAGTTACTTTCTTCATGTATGTTGAACAAAATGTGCCATTCTACATATCTTACCTACCTAATCACCATGGTAACTTACACAGTGAAAACACATTTGCGAGGCATGTAACCATGGTAACTTAAATGTTCTCAATTTTCTTGTTCGTGCTTTATTAACAACACATGTTGTCGACGGAGAGACATAACGCCATAGTCATTATGGTGCAGGCCTCGATTATCGAGTATGCTGATTTAAATGGTAATGTTACGTTGTTCAATGTTCGTGTAAATCATGGTTTTTCATTTCATTATTTTCTATCTCAATCCTAACCAAGGTTCTCCCCCCCCCCCCCTTTCCACCCCCCCCCCCCTCTCTCTCTCTCTCTCTCTCTCTCTCTCTCTATCTCTCGCTCTGTGTCCATCTCCCATACCATCCATCACACAGTCATTCTCTCTTAACCTTTCCACCATTTTTTTTACACCCTTCTCTCTCTCTCTCCCTTTCTTTCTCATTTTTCATCCACGTGTGCTTTGCCTCATGAGGAATACCTTTTACAATACCTTTAATGTTTTTCATTGGGATGTTCCATCCGATTAAGGTCTGAAACCATGCACACTATAATGTTTCATATTATGTTTCACATTCTCTCTTTCTCTCTCTTTGTCTCTCTGTCTTTCAGTCTATTTAACTCTCTATCTCTCTGTTTCTTTCTCTCTCTCTCTCTCTCTCTCTCTGATTCTCTATCTCACTCCCTGCCTGTTTCTTCCTCTCTCAACTTATCCACTCTTGTTCGCAACCTCTCTCTCTCTCTCTCTCGACTGTTTTCTTTCTACATCTACTTAAGTACTGCAAACGTCTATATATAGTCAGCCCCATGACGAATACAGTTTAACAAAGATGCAGAGGAATGGCAAACAAGATTGGATATGTTTATCAGAATACATTTCATCCGCTTACCTTCCCACCACACCATATCTTTATTCTCACGTACATTACCCTTGGACCCGTGTTCTATATATTATCAACAGTGGCGTAGCGTAAGCTTATACATCAAGGGGCAACTGGGTAGGGACGGGGGCGGTCTTACTCAGGGGATGAAGCGCGAATAAAGGTGAGTCATAAGATGATGTGGAAGGAACGCGGTCGCATAGACTTTCGAGAAAAAAAAATCAAGTCAAGGGCAAATCCAACAGCACCATGTATACCACATAGAAATCATGTTCGCATAACGTAAAACGTAATTGTAATTTCTGCACATTTAAATAGGCGATATACAAGGCTTTCGAAATTGCCTTCAGTTGATTTTGCGAAAGTTTGTGCGATCGTGTGACCCTTTCTCAATCACTCGTTCTCGTCATCTCTCTCTCTCTCTCTCTCTCTCTCTCTCTCTCTCTCTCTCTCTCTCTCTCTCTCTCTCTCTCTCTCTCTCTCTATTAATACATATATTGGGAAGGGGCATGTACCTTGCCCCATCTCGCTACACCACTGATTGGAAGCACGATCTGCCTGCATGGATTACATTACAGCTGGGTGGGTGTAGGCACATAGCGATGAAGGGCATTTGGAGTTCACCCTCAAATCCAAATACAAGATTATAAACGGTATGGTAGGGTACAAGAATATCGAAGGAGTGTCGCCACTCCCCCCTCCCCCTCCCAGGGCCCCTTGTAGTAACACAAGCACATTGTCAGGAGGGCTCTTTGATTACATTGTGTTGAACATACTTAATTGAATAAATAAATGCATACATACATACATACATGATTAAATGCATGAATAAAATAATTAACACAAAAATAAACAAACAAATAAATAGTAAACAAATAAAAACAAAACAAATAGATAAACGTATGAATTAATTAATTAATAAATACATGAATGAATGAATTAAGTCATATAGGCAGAGACCCGAATTTGCCCAATGTCTGAAAACAATGAATGATACATAGTACAAGCATATCGCATGTCACGCAACTGTCTCCAGACCAACAATAAACACTGATGATCTATGATAATGTCTGGTAACTTCAGCAAGCTTCATCATTTGCCCCGAATGAAAGCAAAGCATTAATTTAAAGCCCCTATCAGGGACTTGCAAGCCCTCGGAGACTTGTCTCAAAATGTGTGTGTAACAGCGATGAGAGTTTATGAAAGTAATGCAACAGTTCACTTTAGGTGGTTTTCTCTACATGAGTAAAAATTGAAGCCCCCATTTCGTACACATCAAATGGGGTAAACAATATTAAAATGTGAAAAGACAAATGACTGTAATTTTGTTGATAATTTCATTATTTTTTCCCCCCATACTGTTTTAAAGGAAATGTTTAATCCTGACTTGTTACAACGCTTTTGCCCTTTTACAAGTTTTGTGATGTTCGCCGTGCAAATTCCTGCAACACCCTTTAAGCGATCTATCAACTCTTAAGCTATCTATCAACTCTTGATTAAACTCACTTGCCTGTGAAAGTGACGGATGAACGGACAACAGCCGTGAACTTTTATATCAATTATGGACGGGTTAAGAACAGGGGCGGATAAAGGATTCCGTCAAAAAATATGGGGGGGGGGGGGTATTTCAAACAGTTGTGACATGGAAAAAAAATACATGAATAC